TTTTATGACTAAACTGTTAGGATTTTGCCTTGCTTGACTATTTTTCTTTGTTTCTACATTTTCTCACTTCCCTGATTAAATTTGCTTTTTTGGAATTTGAGGAAGGCCTAGGAAGCTAAAGTTTTTCTATAATTAAGAGGCAGGGGACACAGAAGTCTGTCCCCAGGAGACCCTGCAGGGTCCTGTTCCGTTTCATAATTTCAGAACTTCTCTGTCATTAGAGATAGCAATGCGGATGTTCAGTCGTGTCCGACTCTTTGTGAATCCATGGACTGTAACCTGCCAGGCTCCTCTGTGCATGAAATTTTCCAAGCAAGAATACTGGGGTGGGTTGCCATTTCCTCCTCCAGGGGATCGTCTCAATGCAGGGATTGAACTGGGTCTCCTACATGACAGGCAGTCTCCTGCATTGCAGGAGGATTGTTTACAACTAAGCCACCAGGCTAAACTGCTAAAAGATTCCTTTTCTGGACTTTTTTGAAGCTATATGTGACATACAATCAGATTCTAATGGCTATCTTTGGGAGGGAATTCTGGAAAGTCTCTATTAAAAACATACAAAAAGCTAGAGAAAGCTCTTGTCCTCCCTACTGTTGCCTGGGATGTGGATGTGATGACTGATGCTCCAGCAAACTCCTGCATCATGAAGTTACCATAAAGATGGAAGCTACACACCAGGAAGCTGACCCAAAAAGCGGAAAACCCGGCTTCTTTTTTAACAGTGGAGCCACTACACCAGCTCTGGACAGCAAACCTCTAGACTTCTCTTATGTGAGAGAAAACCACACTTCTGTTATTTTAGATGTTCTGTTAGATGCACTTGAACTTAATCCTAACTAAAACAGCAAAGCCTTGGCCCTAAGGGTGTATTACTGATTTTGAAGAACACTCTATGAGACTTGCAAGATCAGCAGACAAAGACATCCTCTCTTGATGGAAGAACCACTCTTTGACTTTCACTCCTTCTGACATCTCTTCCTCAAATATTATAGTCTGGAGTTATAAATGTCTCCTAGTGTTCTTTAAGATGGAATGTCAGTTCCTCAATTTTGAGTATTCTTTTTTCTTAAATTCAAGAATAGATAGTTGGAATGCTTCTCTGTTCTACTGCTTTAAAACTGGAAGGAGGAGATTTTTTTTAAGATAGGGAAGAAATAGTTTCAAACAGCAAAAGGAAATATGAAGGGCACAATCTCTGCTTCCAGGCTCTGATTTATGAGAGATACAAGCTTCACACAGGAAGTCTGCAGTGCGAACGATATCATCAGGGGACAGCTTGTTTTTTATGGTAAAAATACAGCACTCAAAGAAGGCATAGAGGACATAGAGCTATTAACTAAATGATAACCTGAGAGTTCCAAAGGTATAACCAAAGGTTGAGAGGACAAGGGGGCGCATTGGGTGGTCAGAATTACACTGTCATGAGGGGTCAGGGCGACAACAGGTGAGCTGTGAGACAGCGTTCCTTGTGACAGGAAAACTAGTAAAGTTTCCTAATAGGAGCCTCCAGAGGAAGGCAGACTCATCCTGTCACACTACATGTGAGGAAAGATGGATATTAGCTGTTCAGTCCAACTTTGCGACCCCATGCAGCACACCAGGCCCCCCTGTCCTTCGCTATCTCCTGGAGCTTGCTCAAACTCGTGCCCACTGAGTCAGTGATGTCTCTTGCGTCTCCTGCCTTGGCAGGCAGATTCTTTGGGCCTTCCCAGGTGGCTCAGTGGTAAAGAATCCACCTGCCAATGCAGGAGAAGCAAGAGACACAGCTTCAAATCCTGTGTCGGAAAGAGACCCTGGAGGAGGAAATGGCAACCAATTGCAGTATTCTTGCCTGGAAAAGCCCGTGGACAGAGGCGTCTGATGGGCTACAGTCCATGGGGTCACAAAGAGTTGGACACAACTGAGCACTCATTCACTGACTTGCACACAGGGTCACCAGGGAAGCCTTACAATCTCTTTAGAGCCTTGATATTCAATACCATCAGTCTTGCAACACCTAAAGTTTACAGAAATCTTCCCTCTACTCCCTTCCCTTGTATTCAAAGATACTTAACATAATTGCAACAGTTAGATGGGGGGAAAGCCTGGAAGAAAAGCACAGTGTAGGCAGGTTTTTCCACTTCAACACAACCTCTCCTAAGGTAAGGAAACTTAACAACTCGGGGACCTGGGGTGTGGTGGGGTGAAGGGGGGTAGTGAAAGGTGGAAAATAGAGAGAAAAATACAAATGATTATGCCATATACTATCCTACTCCCAAAGCACGTTCTTTCTTTGATTCTCTGCACAAGCTAACCACCCCTTTTCTCTGCTGTGACCACCGCCAAACCCTACTTTCATGTCAGCAGAGTAGTGATGCCTTCTTGGGGAAAAGGAGGGGCCCTCAGAACCTCTCTGCCCCGAGATATCCCCCCACCCCCCGCCACTCTTGTTCCTCATAGACTCCTTTTGACCCTCATTCTTTAAGAGTAAGGTTTTTAAAATGCTTTTCAAGGAAGGTCTTATCCACAACTTCAAAACAGGAAACATACAGAGTGTTACTGTTCTGGCTGAAGCAGAGGCAGAGCCCCAGAGCTCTGTGTTATCAGCCTACCCCTGGCCCTGCCATCCTGGCCTGACCCCGCCCCCTACACACACACACACACACACACACACACACACTCATCTCTCCTAAAAACCCTGGACCTGGGTGACCTACTCATCCCAGTTTGCCCAGGACTTTCTGGGTTTAGCACAAAAAGTCCCACAGCTCAGGAATCCCTTCAGCTTTCGTGCAAACCGGGATGGTTGGTCACTAACCCTAAATACACCTCCATGATAGTTTTAAAAGCACTGATATTAAAAAATTAATTGTCCTTGTCAAAATATAAGCATTTCTAGTAAAGGTAACATTTTAAGCCATGGTTGGTCATTGCCAGCTTAGCGTGAACTAGTTCATCTGCTACTTTCAAGCAGCAGCCAGGTGAAGAATGGGATTTGACAATGAAAAGGACGAGTGTGGCAGCCCTTAGGCATGCCCTGTCGGTGTTCTTGTCAAAGTCAAACTCGTTCACCCAGTTTCCACAGGAATACCCTCGGAGGGCACCCCGAAGCTGCACCCACTCCATGCCCAAGCAGTGTGTTCCCTCCCCAGATGAGGAAATATGCAGTCAAGGCTGCAGCGCAGACTAAAACTAAGGGCCCACCTGGGGATCGAGCCTTGACGTCTATCACATAGCTCCGTAACCAGACCTAACCAGCCAGAGTGAAGCCTGTATAATTGACTTGGAAAAGCTTTCAGGCACCAGAGCCTCTCACAACAGTGGGGACCAAAGCCTGAACCGGAGGAGTGCCCAAAGGAGAAAGGGACCAGTCAGCCATATCCAGATGATCCCCTTTGTTGGCAAAGCTGTCCAGATGCTCATGCAGTGTTAATTAAGCCCAATTCTAATTAATCTGTGACCTTATTCAAACCAACTGTCTCCCTCAGCCTCTAACGCCTCTCCAGATTCATCTGCCCTTTCCCGCCAAGAAGAGTCTGAGGGTTTGTTTTCATTATTAAGTTTAATTGAAAGATGACTGAGCCACGGTCTTTCATAAACAGGGCAATGCCCACCAAAAGAACTCATAGACCAGAGGGGTGGCAGGGAGCCAGCAGAGACATAACTTAACTTCTACAATCTGTATACTGATGAGAGGCTGGGTCCAGCCTGGACCTCTTCAAAGCTAACCCATCAGACCTCACACACTTAAAAAATTGAAAGCAGGATGTTGTGTCTAGACCAGCTGCACTCAGCGTGACATCCGTGAGACCTGGAGAGACGGGCTGAGAGCATGAAGGGACTCGAGAGAGTAGTGGCGGTAGGGACAAGGAAGCAGCAGTCAAAGGGTCAAGATCCAGCCTCTGTCCTCCAACCCAGAGGCTGCTCGCTTGCCAGGGCACACCTGTGCTACAAGTGACTCCCAGGTGTTTCCAGATGTTGCGCCCCTCTGCACGGGCTGAGGCTTGGGGGACCTGGAGATACCAGTCAGCGGCCTCCAGCCATGAGCAGCCTCCCTCATGTCCCCATTCGGCTGTAGGAATATAACCATCCTTACCCATGTTGTGTTAAAGAAGGTTGACACAGTATTTAACATGTTGGAAAGCATTAATATAAATCCATTCATACGTGCATGTATGCTCAGTCGCTCAATCACGTCTGACTCTGACCTCAGGGACTGTAGCCCACCAGGCTACTCTATCCATGGGATTTTACAGGCAAGACTACTGGAATGCGTTGCCATTTCCTCCTCCAGGAATCCACTCATGACCCCCACCTAATTTGGAAACAACATCTATGTTTCTTTTATATCAGAACAAATACCCCATCAACCACAACTAACCAACATGGTACAGAAAATGCAGGCTGCTCTTTGCATCACCACATCTTTATTTTATCAGCCATATATATCATATATATCAGGATGATCTGTTTTTCAAAGGTTTGTTTTTGAAACCTGAATGCACTTGGGTGGATTTTAGTATGTTACTCTCCCCCAAAGCTTCTAATCCAAACATTTCTCTAGCTTCCTATTGTTTTCAGAGTAACCATCAGTCCTGTACCAGGACTACAGGACCTTCCAGGATCTGGTTTCTTTGGAGCAGCAGTCTTAATTGCTCATGACCGACCAACTCTAGGGCTTTCCAGGTGGTGTTAGTGGTAAAAAGCCTGCCTGCCAATTTAGGAGATGTAAGAGACACAAGTTCAATCCCTGGGTCAGGAAGGTCTCCTGGAGGAGTGCATGGAAAACCACTCTAGTATTCTTCCCTGGAGAATTCCATGGACAGTGGAGCCAGGAGGGCTACAGTTCATGGGGTCATATTGGACACAACTGAAGTGACTTAGCACACACATGTGCCACCTACTCTAAGTGAACTGAGAACCTCTGAGACAGTCAGAAGGTCCCCATAGAATATCTAGAAGGGATGCAGTCCTGCAGACAGCTTCCAATTAGCCCCCGAGACCCATTTTGGACATCTTACCTCTAGAACTGTAAGAGAGTTATTAAGCTCATGTTGCTTTGAGCCACTAAGTTGGTGGGAATCTGTTCCAGCAGCTCTAGGAATGATCACACTCCTGGCGTAGCACATGCTATTCTTGCCTGGAGCACCCACCCTCAACTCCTGCCCCTTCCCAGCTGAGCTCTTGTATCCCTTTCTCATAGAGGCGGCCTCTAAGCTCCCAGACCAGGTCAGGTTCCCCACCCCCATGTCCTTTCTCACCCCTGCTTCACTCCTTGATTGCATGCCTAGCCTGTCATTCATTCACTGCATTCAGGAGCCTTTACTGAACTTGCTCGTGTGAATGTGTGTGCTTGGTCGTGTCTAACTCTTTGCGACCCTGTGGACTGTAGCCCGCCAGTCTCCTCTGTCCATGGGATTCTCCAGGCAAGAATACTGGAGTGGGTTGCCATGCCCTCCTCTGGGGGATCTTCCTGACCCAGGGATCGAACCGGTGTCTCCTGGGTCTCCTGCATTGCAAGAGGAATCTTTACCGCTGAGCCACCGTGGAAGCCTGAACTTATTTACTACGAGCAACCATTTCAGAGACACCAGAAAGAACAAGTGAAGGACCTCCCGCTCTTTTAGAGCAACAGGTTCACCCTTCACTTCATTCAATCCTCACATACCCTGTGAAAGAAATCAGTTCCTGCCGGTCACACCAGGTTGACAGTCGGCCCAGGCTGCTTGGACCCTGCTCTGAGCTCCAATCAGATGGAGGGAGGAGGTTGTCAAGGACAGCATCAGTTGGCATTTTCCAAACGCTAATCTGACAGGGATATGAAATCCTGACCTTCTCTTCAAGAAGTGTTGCCTTTTTCTCTGACAAAAGGAATATTTTGCCATCTAGTCCTTCAGTGTCTGGATCAGAGGAGCCTAAGCTCTTGCTGGAACTTTTCTCTAGCTGTTGGCAGCTGCCTCTCCACAAAATGGAGATACTGAATCGTCTTTTTGCCCTTCCTTCTCCTCCATCCCCCTTCCTGTGCCTGCCTGGGCCCTTCCCAGTTCCAAGGGTCTGTGTGCTCAGAGAGTTTCCCAAAATGGTGACAAATGATAGTCCCTTAGCTGTCTGTCCTCTCTGGATGATTTAAATTTTATAAGATTTCCCCAAATATTTTTTTTATTTATTTATTTTAATTAGAGGATAGTTACTTTACAATATTGTAATGGTGTTTGCCATACATCAACATGAATCGGCCACAGGCATACATGTGTCCCCTGCATCCTGAACCCCCCTCCCACCTCCCTCCCTCCCCCCCCAGTCCCTCCAGGTTGTCCCAGAGCACCGACTTTGGATGTCCTGCTTCATATGTCACACTCTCGCTGGTTGTCTGTTTTACATATGGTAATGTATGTGTTTCAGTGCTATAGTTAAAAGAAATTAATGGTTCAGGATGAACATTTGCACATGATGCCAGATAAGAGAAAAAAAAATTTTAAGGCAGAAAGTTTTGATCAGTGCCTCAAAGCATCTCCCAGAGGTGGAAAAGCACCTCTACACACACCGGTGTGCTGCCCACTTCCATAAGGGGCCTGAAGGTGAGCCATTAGCAAAGAGGAGTAAGACCCAGAGGTGGGCAGGCACCACCTGGGTGCGTCACTACTAATGGTGCTTTCCCAGAGATGGCAATGCATGCCGGCAAGGGATGAGGCACTTCAGAACAGCTGGATTCTGTGAGATTTGCTTGCTCAGGCTATCTGAGGACTGGGACAGAAGAGAAAGCCCAATTCTAGAAGCCATCCTCCAAGTACCTGGAATGGCTTATTTGGGAAAAGGTTTATATCTAGATATTAAAGATACAGTGTGAAAATGGGACTCCACCACTTTTTACAAGGCCCCTTTAAATCCAGAAAGAGAAGCCCCATCGATCAAGAAATTATCCTCATTAGTCACTTTCTAACCTATTGCCTCTGGCTTACTCTAGGCTGCCAGCAGAGATGTAGGGCCACAATTAATAAAATATCATTACAGACACAAACCACAACCACAGTGGGCACGATCAGGATTCACACAGAAGCACAGGCACACACCCTGCCCCTTGACATCTGTAGGCTCCTGTCTTAGGAACCTTCCATTTCTCAAAATTAATCCAAACGAGAATGTAAACCCACTATTAGTTCATATGTATCTGAAGTCAGCCCTCTCATGAAAGAGATCCAGAAGACATCAGCTGAATATAATAACCAGAAATAGCACAATGTGTAAAGAGCTTGGGCTCTGAAATCAGACAGAACTAGGTCTGAACTGGGCTCTTCCACTTACTAGCTCTGTGACCTTGGGTGAACTGCCTCACTTCTCTGAGCCCTGGCTTTCTAATCACTGAAACAGGGATGATTTGCATAGCTCTGATGAAGGTTAGAGAAAATGTTTTTAAAACACATATCCCTGTACTGTCACTTAACAGACAGTAGTGATATTATTGGTAATAATGATGAGCATAAATGTGTCTTATCTCTCTCGGTCCTCCCTTTTCTCTCTGTCCTTCCCTAAAGCCGTAACTATCACAGTCCTACTGCTCTTTTTTCCTTCGGATGCCTACATGACCAGTCAGTCTCTCAAAAAAGAATTTATCAGCTGAGACCAGGTGCTGAGCAATAAACTAGGTCATGTTGGAGACACCGTTATTACTGTTGTCAGTGATAACTGATTTCAGCTTTGGGACATAAATCTGGCTGTTTTGTGTTATACTGCCATCAGGGAGCAATCTTACCATAGGGATCCTTCCCTCTCTAATGGAAACACTTGGCGGAAGTGGGGGGGAGTCTCTATAATGTAGGGCACAGGACAGAACAGCTGGAAGTGGCCTCCCTAACTGGCAGCTTCCTGTATTATGGCAGGTTTGAGGCAGATTATGGCAGCAGACAGGGCGCACGCAGGGACAGAGTGGCAGGCAGCACTTCCTCGGATGTAAGCTTCCAGAGGCTTCCAGAGGCAGGCGCTCCCTTTAACGTGCATGCTCATAGCGGCTCCAGGGTACCCTTCCCTGGGACTCCCAGGGCCATATAGCAGTGTCAGTTTGGCTGCCAAGTCCAGCTCTACAGAAGCACCTGGGAAAGGCCAGGCAGCTAACGAGAGCAGGGTGCTCAAGGGGAAAAGACAGCTGCCCTGGGGGCCAAGGGACTGGGGTCTGGCTCCCATCCTGCCGCCACTTGAACTTCTAGCAAGTCTTTGTCCCCCTAAGGGTCACGGTTTCCTGTCAGCTGAAAGGCTGACTTGTATCTGCCCACTTCCTATAAGAGGGATGCTGTCAGGGGTGCTCACGTTGCTTATCTGTAGTTTCTACTTCTTCTACTCTGTATACATATTTTTGAGGAGAGAGAGACATAATTTCTGGGGTTTCTCTGATTGTACTGCTCAGATCTCGTCCACGTCTGAAACAGTCAGCAATATCTGTGTGTGTCTGTGTGTATGCGTGTGTGCATTCATGTATACTCAGTTGATTCAGTCGTGTCCGACTCTTTGTGACCCTATGGACTATAGCCCACCAGGTTCCTCTCTCCATGGAATTCTCTAGGCAAGAACACTGGAGTGGGTTGCCATGCCCCCCTCCAGGGGATCTTCCCAACCCAGGGACTGAACCTGAATCTCCTGCATTGCAGGAGGTTTCTTCACCCACTGAGCCACCTGGGAAGCCTACACACACACACACACACGCACACACACACGCACACGCACACACACACATGCACACGCACACACACACGCACACGCACACGCACACACACACGCACACACACACACGCACACGCACACACACACACACACACACGCCCACATGAAGTTGTGAAATAATAAGTGAAATACTAAGCTCATATTAACTGGGCATCTCCTCTGTGCCAAACATCGTGTTACATGCTTTACGTTCATTATCACATGTAATCCTGCCAAAAACACTGAGAAAAGTTAATTGAACACACCTGCTGTTGACCGTCCAGCATTCATTTCCCTCTGCCTCCTGGTAACAGTGCTCTGAATTTCCCTTGAGAAACCATGCCTCCTTGTCATCTTCCCCCTTACAATTTTGTGGCACTGGCTTCAGCCCCAACTCTGAAAGTAGATCTTGGCTGACTTCATCGTCAGTATATGCTCCCCGCCACCACCATCACAGAGATTGGTTCACGGGCAGATGAGATCTGAGCAGTACAGTCAGAAGAAGCCTCAGGAATTTGCCAGGGATGTGAGATACGGTGCCCTTCTTCCCTGTAGGACTTGAACATGGAGCATATGGTCGCATTATGTGTTGTATGACATTCTGGACACTTAAGGGGATATGCTTCCAAGATGAAAGCCAATGCTGAAGGCGTAGCGGTGAGAAATAAAGAGTGAGAAAACCAGGGCTTTGAGATGATAGATCAAACCTTGCCTGAAGCTACATTTACTCTTGGAATTTATTGTTTAAACAATTTTATTTGAATTTTTCTGTTTCATGCAACCAAAGATATCTTTATCAATGTAGGCAGGTGTCATTGTTCTCCCATTTAATACATTAGGAAAATGAAGCTCAATGGAGCCAAGGCTCAATTAGCTAAGGCTAATGGAGCTAAGCAACTTACCCTCAGCCACATAGCAAGTACATCACAGAAACATCATCTGACCCCAGGTCCATTTGTGTTCTCTGTCTCCAAAGACATTGGACGTATTCCCAAAACAGCAAAATGACCTGCACAGAAGAGGTACTTAGTATTGTTTCAGTGAATGAACCAAGAATGAATAATTCCACTTAAGGAAAGCATCAGCAAGGTGGAAGATAAGGACCGCTGAACTGGGAACTAGGGAATCTAATTTCTGACCTGGAGTTCTTCACTTACTAATTATGAGACCTTGAAAAAGTCATTTACAAATTCCAATCTTTATGCTCCACATGCTAAACCTGAAATGATGAGATAAGATCCTCTTTACAGGACCTAAGGATTAGGATGCCATTTAGGAAAATTCTGAAAACTCTCATGACATATTAGAAACATAGAGTACTCTTCATGTGGGTGAGTAGATTCCTCCAAAAACTTACCTAGCCTCTGGTTGATTGTATTAAACACAAATCTGTTTTGTCTTCTTAATTATCTCTATGTTATAAACTTTCTACACTATGCATAGTTTTGTGGAACATAACTTTCTGGAGAATAAGGTAATCAGTGAAAATTAGCCCCTGACAAAGTAGAAT